TTAACATTTTGGCTTTTGTTATTCCAGCCATTGTACCTGCTGCTCCGTGTCATTCTGAGCAACACTGTTGTTGTAAACACCTTTGAAAATGTGCAGTTTTCTAATAAAGGCAAAATACTGACTGAGGAGTTTAATGTCCCAACTAACTGAGCATCTGAGCAGAGCTCTGGGTGATTTAATCTTGTTATGCTCAGCTCGATCGTGACCTTATCCTGATTATGAGGCGTTTACACGTGGCAGTTTCTATCATCGCAGTACTGCCTTGATCAGGTTAAGACTGAGTTATTAGGGTGCATGTAAATGCATTCACTGAGACAGAAAGCGAGAGGGATTCCAAAGGAGGAACAGATGAAAGCAGAATGAATAGAGACGGACCCAGACTAGCAGGGCAGTTAAGCAGCCAGCCTGGTGATCAAATGCTGACTGCTTCAAACCCGACTGCTGACACCACTGAGGTAACCAAGTTGTTTATTTCCTGTTTCAAAAGAGTGGCTATTAGGAACCAGCTCAAAAAGGTTTTGTTCTCGTTTTACAATTACTTGGATTATGATTTTCTTGGTTGATGTATTTATCATGCGAGACACAGCTTATACAGCATCCAAGTCCAAACATCAAGTACACAAGCAGTTACTTAACTTTCCTTTTAGCTTTCTGGCTTTCTAACATGCACAACAGCTGAGGCAGGCTGTGATAAATGCTGCCGCCCACAGGGCTAAGTCCAGGCACTGTCACAGAGGTCTATTCTTTTTATGCCTTTCTGCCTTTGGAGCTTTTCAGGAGGAAATGGCTGTAAAATCATTCCGTGGGAAGGGTAATATAGTCTTGTAACTTATATTTTTAAGGAGCTGGGAAATAGAATTGCTGCACTTTGAGGCACTGTGGCAAAAAGTTCTGATTTACCTCCATTGATTTTCTGGGCCTCAGACTTCCAAACAACAACACCTCAGAGCCTCGCTTCTACTTGATTTGTCTGAAATGGCCAATCTCTGCTGCACAGCTTTTGGTCTCTGTCTTCCTTTATTTGTCTCCGTCAGCCTTCTTACAAAACCATCTTTGTTTTCCTCTTTCTGCAGCAGGTCACTGTGGTATTGTTGTCCCATAATGACAGGTTTCGACTGAGTGGTTTTTAACAATGTTTTGTGTATTATGTGATCTTCTGTTAAGTTTTTATCTGAAGCACAATAAGCCATGTTCTACACCTCTGCTCACTCCGACTTACTGTCATGACAGGGATAATTCTCTCAAAACAGCAGTCAATAGTTGTAATTGCACTACTTAACAGGCCAACAACTTGGCCAGGCACGCTGCAGGCACATTAATCAGTACCCCATCGATCATTGAACCACATTTCTCATCAAAATCCTTGATTCATTCTTTTGAGTCCTGTTCAATGCACTTCTCTGCTCTCCACCTTCCTCCCCCTAAAACCTTTTTACTCTCTATCCATCACAGAAGGTAGGCAAACCAGAGCTGGTGAACAAAGATTTAGTTCTTACCTATCAGGCCGGTGTACGCAAGTAGACATGCTCCGTAGTTCTCCTGCTTGCAGCCACTGGCGCTCTGCTCGTAGGGTTGGCAATCATACTGGAACTGTGCCCAGCGAGACCTGTGGGAGCAATAACATGCCATCCATCATTTACTCGTGCTTGGCTGCTGCCCACATTGTGTCCCTGAGGGGTGGCCAGCATCGGTGCTTTCATTCAGCAGCAGAATGTGGATCTGAAACCCACAACACTTATCTACCTACCTATACTCCTACATCAACTCCCTCCCCCCTTCAAGATCCCTCACTGTGCAGCACTTCAACCCCATTCCAGTCACCCCTGGTGACATTTAGCCCTGTTTCTTGTTCCTCCCCGCTTTTCCCCAGCCTGTCGTCTTCTGAAAGGCTGCCAGGCTGTAAAGAGTCAATGATGGGCAAAGACAGGCCTTGGCTCTGCTCTCTAAATACCGTGGGTGCTGTCTGGCAGGCCTGGCCATAAGAAGATTAAACAATTGTCCATATAAATACTTCCTCCCACAGCTGCTCTTCCTTCCCTCCTTCACCTTTCCTGCATGCTGCCCAGACATCTAGTCTCATCCTCACTATTCTACAAGGCTATCATGGCCATCATATCATATCATTGGCCCCTGTCCACTGACATTTGCAACGGGATCCTCTCAGGGCACCACAACTCCCTGCTCTCCCGTCGTTTGTCATGTCATCATAATGATGTATGTAAAACTCATAGGCTGTGCGCTAACTGAAGGCATCATCTGCAGGCTGCCGGCTAATGCCAGCTGACTGGTTCACGAGCAGCGGGCCACGCAGTGGCCTCGAGACGCCCCATCAATCGGAGCGGTGGTGGAAAATAATGCCTGATCGATAGCCATGACAGATGAAGCCCTTTGTCTTCCTGACATTTGAAGAGGAACTAGATTAAACGCTGGCGACCATTTGCTGTCAGAGAGAGCAGGCTGACTGCGTGGGTCTGAGAACTCCATGTTTTCGGTCTCTAGTTATAGAGAGAAATACACCTTCTGATTTTTAATGACTTCAAAAGACATTGTTAATTTTCTGAGTTGATGTTTACAATCAATTTAAATTTGAATTTTTTGTTTTCATTAGTGTCTCACAGACACAGAGATTAAACTCAGAATAAATATACTTATTCAAATGACTTCCCTAGTACAAAGGGGTCATTCTTCTGCAAACCACTTACTGATCCCAGTGAAGCCCTGGCTAATAGATATTTTCTGAGCACTTTGGCAGGAAAGTCATGTGTGAATCCCAAGAGATAATGGTCGTTCTAATAATTACTATTTCACATGACTGTTTGTTGCCTGGCTGTTTTCCCCAGAAAATGAATGCAGAATTTAATTGAACTAATGAAACACAGTTAATGAGTAGAACAAATGAATTAATTAAACTCAGCTGACTAATTTAATCTAAATGAACATATCATACCAGCCAGACCTATCTTGCAAGATACACAATGCCATTTATTCTCCTGAGGGAAAGTTGCTGCGCGAGGCAGCCACATCAGCCAGGCAGCGCATACTGAAGACAGTGTGGTGGAGATACAGCTGTATGTTGGATTCAGGTGTCCAAATCAAATTGCAGCAACTTTCCTAGGTATCATCCAAGTTAAATTTACGAGTATGTGTTGGTGTTTTCTTGTTGTATTCATGTGCTGTTGTAAAACTGCAGTATATCCCTCACATTATGGTGCTCTCATAAAAACCTGGGCCCAGAATTTGGTTAAAAACTGGTTAAACAGGTGGTTCTAAAAGCATAGTGACGCAAGCTACATTCATCAGAGTGGATTAAGGAGAGTGGCGACAACTCCCTTGACTCTATTGGGACTGGTTTTCTACCCAATGGCCGATCATGGGGACGTCAAATAGTTCTAAACATCAGGAGCGGCACCATAGAGTTACATTGACATGGCTGCTATCCTCTTAAGTAAGAACATTAAAGACATGTTGGTGTTACTGTATTTATGAATTTCTTACTCTCAAGTTGAAATGATGGCTGTGAAAAAGTTCTGATAACCAGCTTGGCCCTTACTAATACAGATGTCCATGAAGAAAAAAAAATTAAACACGGTTGTCTCACATCAGCCACCTTCCAAGACCATCTTTCAATGTAATTAGATGCATAGGGTGTTATATTGCAGTGTATTTTTAACTCACATGACTATGTCTCTAATCACACAACAGTCTTGACTTGTCATATGATGTAAACACATGCAGGTTCTAAACACTGCAATTTTTCCCAGCTCTTCCTATTTGTAGTAATAGTGACCAGGGATAAGTGGAGGTGTAGTTTGTGAGGTAACCACTAACAAGCTACAATCAACTATTAAGGATTTCAACTGAAATGAACTCAGTTTGCCATGAAATGCTTCTGTTTTAAATGCTGGTCTCAGAAACTCTTATTTATCCGCTGGACACCCCATGACCTTAAATGAATGTTGGTGTTGCTCTGTGTCTGCTGGACGTGCAATTAGAGCAACTGACAGTTTGTTAAGAGGTTGGCTATGTCAGTTTCATATGCCAGGGCTGTTTGTCAGTTTGCTGTAGATTTTTTCTTCCTCTCTGTGGGTAAAATCAATTAATATAGCTTTCATGTAAGAAACTCCAAGTTCTCTGTTCATTGTGTTGATTTTCCAGGCTGTCTGCTTGAGTTGTTCCACACACGACTCCTCAAACTTACGCAAATCAAATGTAGGATACCTGTCCGGTGAAACAGCAGAGACCCAGAGTAAACAAGTGATTGGTGAAGCTGCTCAAACATCTAACAAGACAAAGAGGTCCAGAAAGTTTTCTCAGGAGCTGGCAGATCAAACAAGATGGTGGATGTGTCAGTAACCTCAGGCAAGTGTTTCGTAACAAGTCAGACATGAAGAACTCAATAAGCTGATATAGGTTTCAAAGCTTGTTTCTCTGTGTATGAGGAACGTCTACGTTCTGCCACTAACTATCAAAAACATCAGAACCTCACTCGACCAAATTGATCTGGATTCTATATACTGTAAATATTTCCTCCCATAGAAAAGTCGAGTCACCAGGAATTCTGTATAACAAAAAGGTACAAAACGGTGTCTAACCAATATCTAATAACACTGGTACTGCATGCTCTGAAAAAGGTACTGCATTAAATTGATGTATACATGATTTGCAGTAACTGAGCTAAAACATGTAAAAAGACTTTTGTGACCCTTTAACAGAAGCCACAGTTTCTGCAAATGATCAGTTCAGTAAGTGGAAGATGCCAAAGTAGCAAACTAAGTGTAAAATGTTCTTGGCAACAGACAGCATGTAAGACAACATTTCTAAATTCTACCTGCACACGTAGTCTGCCTTGCAGACCCGCAGCTGAGCCAGGCAGTTGGGCTTGTCTTTGTCTTCATAGGAGCATGACGGCACGATGGTCTGCCTGCGGCGCTCTGCACAGGCCGTGTCAGTGCACGGACAGAACAGCAGCTCATGGGTGTAGTCAGTGGGAACACGGTCGAAGAACTTCCTTAGCGCCTTGTTGCACTTTGGTCGGTTACATGGCCCCGAGCGGGCTGATGGCTGGATGCAGGCCGAGACGTATTCCGTACGAAGTTTCTGACACGTTTCATCTATGTTACACACCTTGGCAGCATCCAGGCAGCGGTTCACTGTTGTCACTTCAGACTCTAGAAGACACAAATGGGAGGCAGAAAGCATTTCATCCTTTTGTGTGGTTTGAGAAGATTCAAATCCCAGGCAATGTTTACCAATGATTCCAAGGCCTAATTGGAGTCGGTATTGACTTGCTACTCTCACCTCCAGATTCAGATGCAGTGTTGCATTTACAGATTAGAGAAGAAATGTGTGTTTTGATGGACAAACTAAACGATGATTATACATAATAGGCCCCCTTGTAATGAATAGAACATGAATGGTATTTAAATGTTGCATGCGCCCAGGCACTGGATGTGTCTCAGCTGAAGCCTAATGGCTGAATATTTCATTCTGCTGGGTTAATGCAGAGTGGCAGTGCAGAAGAAGTGGCTCCTCCATCTCTCCTACCACACAACAAGGCCTGTATTTACTGCTGCTTCCCCTTCATCCATCTACCCAACACATCCTCCCTACTGGGAGGGCCCATCTCTTACTCACCTGACTCCTGCCTTTCCTTGCCATCTTCCAAATTCACTCCGTCACTCTCAGCACTGCCATCTGTCCCTTCCATTCCTTGATTCAGCTCTCTCTCCCTTCTTTTCCACTCATTCTTTCACAACTTTGTCCCATTTTTGCCTACCTCAGTGCCTTTTCTCCCTCCAACTTCCACAGTAATGAGCCACATCTGCAGAGGTACTGGAAAGCTCCTTTGATCACTGTCTTTTTTTTTTTGGCCACATTATTTCCCAATCCATCATCATATGTTTTTTCCCCCCTAAGCAGCCTCCCAGTCAATACGGCCACAATGATGCTCAGCTCCTCTGGCAGGTAGCACCACTCATTAGTTTGTAAACTGCCTGTAGTAGTGTCTCCTGGTGAGTTCGGCTCTCACCAAGCTCTCACATAAAATATGAATGGCCTTGGAGTGCAAGCTAACAGCCCGTCACAAACCATAGGTTATTCCCAACTTATTTACTAAGCAGCAGAGGGGGTGGGAGAATATGCACATGTATTCATGAGAAATCTTTAGTATGTTTTTAAGTCATTGCTTATTTAGGAGACTTTCTGAGCATTCACGCTCTTATCCAGGAACCTTCTGTTTCACATTTAAGCCATTTACACCTCTGAGCTGCCCAGTATAACCACAGCCCTGAGCTTTTCCTCACTGAAGCCACTGGAGGCTCGGTGCGCTCGCACTCTAGCTTGTTTTCCAGTTGCAGGCTTGGATCTGTAATATTCATCATTGCATATTTAAAATTTAAATCTAGAGTGCAGTCTAAGTATTTGGACAGCGACATGTTTTGCTGTTTTGGCTCCAGAACACCAGCACAGTGCATGTGAAAATAAGGTGCCTGAGGTTAAAGCTACAATATGTAAATTAGTTTTTTTTCCCCAAATATTTCTGTTGTAGAAATCTGCTCCAGAACGTGTCCTAATGTGGAGAGGAGCTGTCGAAGCCTCCTGTGACCCAGACTCGTTGGACAGCACTGGCAGCAGTACAGAGATATTAGCTTCTAGAAGGTTTTGGCTGGGATGAACCTGGCATCATTTTAATACCTTTGTCCATTTTTAAATATTACAGCTTGTAAGTTTAGAAAATGTACACTGCAGTCAGCACTGTCCAGTTGTTGTGCTCTAAAACTCCTGCCGATCAACCAGTGTAGATCATCACTTGTAAAACTCTCCTCTGCAAATCTGTCAGAGCTGGGATTACATGCATGTGCAGTTGACTCTTTTTCTTCAGTTTGTAAAAAGTGATGGCTATTCTTGGCTTTTAGAGCTTCAAAAAAAAAAAGATGATGAGGGTCACATTATTTATGAGGAAGAAACATGTCACCCATGTTTTTTTAATAGGCCTTAAAGACCAAATACGCTAAACCAGGTTCTAGATTCACAGACAGACAAAAACCATTGTCGGTTTTAGTCTCGGTGGGTTTTGTGTGACCAAACTGTTGCATCACAAAGAAAACAAAACTGCTGCATTTGCCTCGAAGCAGAAAATCCTATTAAGGCAAAACAGATTCAACCACTCAATGGTGCATTAAAGAGCTTCTTACTTGGTGCAAAGCATCTACTGTGTTTAAGCAGAGGAACTTAATAATTAATTGGTAAAGGGTGAGGTACACTGTGGTTTCAATACTCCTCTAAACATGAGCTGTGGCTGCAGCTTGCATCTTTGAAAAGAGTCATTACTCTGAGGGAGAGATGCTATAAGGGCAGAAAAACATCCATTAATCACATCTTTGTTGTTTAGGCAGTCGACTTGTCGAGATGCATGGCATGCATGTCAACTTTGACCTCCTGTGGTGTCGCTGCAGTGAAATTTACAACGAGGCTGTGCAGTGTCTGGCCCTGCTGTAATTCAAAGCAACCCAAAACAGTGATGTCATTTTAATAATAAACTTATGTGTGAGGTCACAAAACATATGATGTACATTCCACTCATACTCCCACTATCTCCCACAAACAGGTAATGCCTTCCTTAATCTGAAATCTTAACAATTATGCACAACAAGGCCATAGAGAATTAATTGGACTGAATGTTACAGCATGTCAGATGATTTACTGGGAGTCATGAATGGTGCAGAGCTGATATCAACACTGCTGGAATTCATGGTGCTGTGAAAATAGCTGGATGAGATGTTGTTGGAACATCTGTGAAACTGAAAGAGGCTGAGAGGAGCTGCAGAGTGGTGCAGCAGCTTTGCTGTGTGTGTGTGTGTGGAGGGAGACTGGTGAATGTCTTATGGTAAAGACAGATCATACAGGGAGGTGTTTTTGTTATGTGAACAAGCATGTGTAGTGCTGGTTTCCATTCATCTGAAATCTGGGTTTCTAGATGGGGGAACCCGGATTACAATTTAAAACTCCAACACACAGCATCAGGTTTCGCTTGCTATTTTAAGTTGTTTTGGTCCAAATTAAAAACTGGGAGTGCTGGTGACAGAGTAGCATCTCTACCTATTTAGATGTCATTATTTGACCAACTTCAGTCATTTTGGCTACTACTCATGTTGCTGTTATGGTAACACTTTCACATTTCATATGAAGCTGAAGGACTAGTAGATTTTAAATACAGGTTAGGGTTTTAAAGAAGCCCTCAATTTAACAATTCTGCCTAAATTTGTTGAATTCAGCCAAATCAACCATGGGAAACATTCATCAGATTTGGCAGAACTACTACCTGGTTTGACCTCTTGTATAAGTGGGATAATTCTGGCTGTAAACTGTGATTGATTTTTATTTTTTATTTTAACTGTTTATGACAGTTTTTACTTAAAAAAAAAAAACGTAACCTAAGGGTTAAACAGTATCTTGTTTTGTTTACAACCTGTCTGATGATCCGACTGCCTGAGGTGGTTGCACTGCCAGACTTCATTTTAGAAATGTCACTGCATTCCCAGACCTCAATAATTATTTTGGAGAGTACAATCAAACTCGGGTCCAAGTAATTATTCTGAACTATTCTTTAACTGGCTTGTGTGCACAGGCTTTAACAGTGCTGTGGGCAAACACAAAGAACACTGCAGATGTGTGACTTAAAGTTTGGATTGTCAAAACATTCTATGGTAAAGCTGTGTTTAATAAAGTGGCCACGCCCCCCCCCGATCTCTGCAGCGATACCGGTGAGTAAAACCATACAACTGTTGCAGAACCTAAACATAATCTGAACATAACTGTCAGGGTACTGTGCAAACTGTCTCCTCCACTGGCCTCAACCACTGTTAAATCATTTGCCTCTCGTATCCTGCGCAGCTTATTAATGTCACCCTGTGTTACCTCAGGTTTAAAGCCATACAATTTGTACTGACATGGGTGTTTCATTGCCATTAGGAACCAACATGCAGAGCTACCTAGTGCAACTCTAACATTAGAAGGATATATCAAATCCCATAATATAATAAATGCCACTGCTCATCTAGTTTCAAACAGAGAACTGTGTGAGACTGAGCTCCCTCTCATTCTTTCCTGTTATGCTGTACATCAGACTGACACCAGACCCTTTATCACAAATGGATCAAAATCTGAAAAAGACATGCAATTCTTTACCCAGCAGCAGTGGTGGAAAGTAATTAAGTACTCAAGTACTGTATTTAAGAGGAGCTCTGTTAATTCATATTTTGACTTAATTTTAGAGGCAAATATTGTACTTTATACTCCACTACATTCATTTTATTACTTTAGTAATTAGTTACTTTTCAGAACCAGGTTAATTAAAAAAATTACAGTATAATCATAATTTCAGACTTTATTGATCACCAGTGGGAAATTCACAGGCTACCCAGCGGTAATTCAAATTCTAAACATATATGTCAGTTAAAACTAGCTCCCCCTTTACTTAAATGTAATGAACCCAATAATGCATCAGTAATTATAATCAAACCATATTCTATACATTGTTAAATGTGTCCCTTTGCATAATGAGTACTTTTACTTTTAGTACTTTAAGTATGTTTTGATGCTAATACTTTTGTTCTTTTACTTAAGTAACATTTTGAGTGCAGGAACTTTACTTGTAACAGAGTATTTTTACACTATTCCATTGTTACTTTTACTTACATTAAGACATGTGAGTACTTCTACCAATGCCCAGTAGTTTACAACTATAAAAAAATTTAATTAATGAAATGTTATCATTTCTAATATGAAGATAATGAAACAGCTGGTATAATTAGAGCTTTTAACGTTTGCATAGGTGTTACTATATAATACTGAAATAATGAATAATATCACTTTAAACCAACGTGACCTTTGTCTCTCATGTTGTTTTAGGCCAGTGCTGTTCATTTTGTGCCTGGCCTGCTTTATGTGAGGAGAACATGTTGACATTAAGCAGCGCCCTCTCTTTGAGCTGTCATTTTTCACCTGTTATAACTTTTTTAATGCTATAAGACACAAAGACCTTTAAGACCTTCCATACTAATCACTTCATTTTGTTGTAAGTCATTACTACGTTTCACAGACTCGCCGTCTCAGCTTCACTTGTCCACTGAGTAACGGCAGTGGGAGAAAAAAGACATTTGACTTTCTGTGCTCTCCACTAGTAAAACTGTAACTCTTCATTTTCCAGACCTCCACAGGGGGAAAAGTGGTGTTGTTTGAGCAAACAAACCAGCTCTGCCTGTCTTTTGTTTCTTTTTCTCACACACTGTCTCTCCCTCCCTCTCACCTTTTACTTTTTCCTGTTTGTTTCTTTCACATCTTCACATTCTTGTCACCCACACCCAACTCCCCACCCCCTGCTGTTTTGCAGCTGCATTAAAGTATGCAAATAGGTAATTAATCGCTGCCTTCAGGGCTAGCAGCAGCACATACCAGCCCTGCAGCTTGCTCACAGACTCAGAGGCAAGAGAGGAGAAAAGCGTGGGCTGTCACTCAAACAAACTGCAAACCCACCTGCATCTCCACCTGTCTACTCTGCCACAATGATGCAATAACGCCATCATTGCTCTTTCTTTAACACAGAACTTGGTTGGGACCCCTTGGTCAGAGGGGGCTGGCAACAGCTACTTTTGTCTTGAGCTTTTCAGACTAAGTGAAGGCAGTAACAGAAGTGGCAACTCGCCCAGTCACCTGCAGCAATGGAGGCCAGTCGAACATAGTCGGAGCCCCTCTCCTCTGGTTCATACGGGTAGCTCTCCACCAAGTTGAGTCCTGCCAACACAAGAAAAAGGTTTCTGTTGTCATGACAACCCAAAATATCTTTGTCCTTACAGTTTCCTGAAATACCGACATAAACACTGCATACCAAAAGAAACTCTGACTTAAAAGGCTCAATATGAAGAATAAAAGTTGTATACAAACACAAACAATGCATGAAGGTCCTGCCTACATGTTGAAACGCTACATGTGCAACCTACACGTCTGAAAACCTTTCATTTGTAACCAGATGGGGCTCAGTTATAAACTTGATGTTTAGATGTACAATATTTTTAGACTGCACGACACTAAATCAATGTTTCCTGGGGAGGAATGGCTGCCCTGCAGAAACAAACCCATAGGAACATGTCAGGCATTTTGTTACTGGGTGGTTAACAAATACCACTAAATGCCATGGTGCCTAATGTTACCGACAGTTGTACTGAAGCTTTATTTAGTCTACATGTGTATGCACTGTGCCTCACTAACACTTGTTGCACATTAATCCAGCCTGTAAGAGTAATGACAGATATACTGTATGTTGAATTACTGCTGGCTTTATTTGTTTATTATCTCTTTGTCACATTTTTCACATTTGCACTTGAGTTTCACAGTGCTGTCAGTAGTCTCCTGCACTTGTTTTCAGTTGTTCTTTAATATAAAAGTATATGCTAAATAGCCAAAGGGTGTGGGTGGAACAAAAGGAATCAGAGCTTCAGTTTTAACAGTTTTTGACACAATAATAACTCTTTTCATTTCAGCCTGGAATTTAATGTTGAGCTGTCTGGAGGCGGGAGCCTAATTCATGTGTAATGGGCAGCATATGCTTGATTATCCCCAATAACATTCTGTACCTGTGCGTGCCCACCTCCTGGGAACACAACCATCACAGTCTGTGCATTAATAACAGTCTTACCATGTAGCACAGACTGGTGCAGGCTCCAGTAGATGCTCAGGCAGTTCTTCTCCTTCTTCATGCCTCGTTTACATTGGCAGCCATGCAGAGGAGTGGACAGCAGCGCCGTCATGGCGTTCTCGCACTGGTTCCGCGCTCCAGGCCCCAGCTTCACGCTGCCGTCCCCCGCCACACATTGCCTTAGGGTGCGCAGTCGTGGGCTGCAGGTGTCATCGCTGGAGCAGGTGTCTCCGGCACGCAGGCAGTCCTTGCCCCCCACGGAGAGGGCCAGACGTGGCACTCCTACAAGGTGAAACAGACAGAGGACTGGTTAGCGTCATGTTGCTGGGTCCGCTGCCATGAGAACTGAGTCACAGAGTGGTCTGTGGATTTGTTTTCATTTCATTTGTCCATATAAACACAAAGAACACTGGATGAGAAAGATTTCAAATAAACATACAGTGAAAATGTGGATGAATTAAACTGCTTCAGCCAAAATTTAAAGACAAATGGAAACAAGTGAAAACGAGATTATGCAAGGTGATGATTTTTATTTTTTCTATTTATCCATGATCATAATAACCAGTTTTAGCTGGCACAGCTATCTTTAGCTTGAAAAACCTTAGCTACAGCAGCCTGAAAAGCAGTACCAGGGGTTTCAAAACTAAGGTCAGGGGGGAAACTACATCATTGGAATGGCTACATTTTCGTGGTTTGAGTTTAGGAGCACAGCTGCATCAATTAGCCACGATTAAAACACACTGCAGTCAATAGTTTGTATAGACTTTGTGTCCAAACCTTTGACTGGTAGGTACAAAGTACAAAACACAGGCTATGCTTCTGTAAATCTTAGTCCCTCACGTACCAGTATCCCATAGACTACTGAGTGGCTGTGTGAGGTCAAAGTCTGTCGATGTTGTCGACTTGTGCACGTTGGTTTCAGGTTTGCATGTGTAGTTAGTTAACAGAATCGATTTCTGCACTTTTCATAAAACTGGTTTTGATCATTTTAAAATAGTCCTAATTACATTTAAAATCATATTCCAGTAATTTGATGGTTATGGGGCTCAAACGAGACAAAGGCAGCAGAGGCAGGTTTTTAGTCCCTGTGGGTCAAACCCCAAAGAGCCACAGAATATACAGGTTCATTGATTTCACAGCCTTGATTTTGATGTGTAAAAATTGGTGGGTTGCTCCTTTAAACTAATTTAAAAAAAAAAGTGATTTTCTTATTCACTCATTGCGAATATGGAAATTGAATTTAATAAGTGGGTTACATTTTAAATCCCTCGTCAGAGGTGATCCAATTACTTCAACAATGCATCTCAAGACAGTATTCCAGTGTTTTAAAATAACATTCATAAACCCAAGCATAGTGGGGGTGGGGTGAAGATGCATCTCAGCAATACAACCCGATATGTTCCAAATTACAGTGAAGCCTGTCAGCTGCAGTCAAAACCAAGTGTCGTATGTACTTGTTAGATTGGCTTAGAGAAGGGTGGCATCATTTGTGGGGGGGGACAACATGTTGACTGTTGTCTTGTTTCATGTGGCACTGACCACATGCAACCTTGTTCCCCCAGGGAGTGTAAATGCTTGTTGCCCCCTGGTTGTTTAGGAGATCCCAGAATTCTTAATGTCATGTAGCAGTTTTTAATTGATCCATGTGTCTAGTTAAGGACACCACACTTGCACGTTACCTTAAACAAAATATGATTCTATGAGTAACAACAACATCTCTGAGAGACAGCATGAGAAATGAATCTGCAAAACATATGCTGAAGCTTGTCAATTTAAAATAAACACAAAGTCCAGCTGAGGCTGAGGGGAATATCTTTTGTTTGCAGGTATTTGGTCAGAAACCAAAGTACAGGACAAACTGAATTTGCAGCCTGATGATGGCATTGGATCACCAACATTATTACATTCATGCCAGAGGAGATGTTAATGTTTCTACCAAATTCAATGGCAATTCAGTCTGAACCACAGCAGCAGACTGGCTGACGTTACATTACCATCCTGGAGCCAGTGTCGCTGGCATGGCTAAAAAAACACCACTAGCTTAATGGTGAGTCAAACTCTGTGTGCAACCAAACTTTGTTCACACACACACACACACACACAAACTCAATTTTTTAACTCTAGTGGAGAGCCCAAAGTTTCCAGACCTATCGGATATGTCAGGCTGGATTTTGGTGAAATGCCTATAAAGTGATGCATAAGACATTTCCAAGTGAGGGAAGGTGCAGCCTTAAAAACATGGAGTCTTGGGTTTGAATATTTCACCCAGTGTAAACACCAGGCAGCATCAATGAAGAGCTGGAACATGCAGAGACAGTTATATAACGAAATCCTCTCAGGCAGGGTGGAATAAGATGAACTTTCTAAGAGCAGAGCTACTTGAGGTTTAAAAGGAGGACAACATTTAACTATACAAAGTTTAAAACAAGAAGATAAGAATTAGTTATCCCCTGTTATTCAATGGCTCCCCCAAGGGGTGGCTGGAGGGGACATGGCCCAGAAGCATTTCTATGTCACAGACTACTTGGTAAGACTTTCTGTGTGGTGAGTCAGTAATTACCTCTTAATCAAATCTCATTCCATCACAGCTCAATCAAGTGATAAGGAGCGAAAGCAGTATCGCCATAATAGAGGGACTCGCTAATTTTCAACTGGAAGATAAAGCTGCAGCTTCATTTCCAGCTGTAAGTCAGAGGAGCTCCCCATGGGTGACGTGACTCTAGAGGTGATCAGATAACACAGAAAAGGATACGACATGTCTGAGTCAAGTCTACATTCTTAGCCAAAGCCTGCTGTACTTGTAGAAGGGGTTAGCTGCCGTGTGCCCAGCAGGAGACGTCTCAACCTTTGTGAGGAGTCAGCTGATCTAGTGGCAAGCTGTCAATAAACGTACAGACAGACAGTGAGGCAGGAAGCGTGCTGCTATGGGCTTGTGATGTTTGTGGGTGCTACTGAGAGAAAGCAACTGCCACTCAAGTGAAGACCTCAACTTCGCTGAGGTCTTGACAGGCACCACTTAGTGTTCCAAAAAATCCCTGTCAACAAGTCATTTACTCCACTATAGACTCCTAAACTTGGATGTTCTTTACGTCTAGGAAGGATAGGCAAGAAAAACATGCAGGGAGAGATAATGTCATTGGTTTTTCATGGAAGAGACTTTTCTAGGATCAAGGGATGGTACCTTGAAAAAGTAATAAAATCTGATGTCAAGAAGTTTCACTCGCTCTGATGAAGCCTTCAAAATGCAGATTTACACTGAAAATTCATGGTATTCTCTCACCCATGGTACTTTCACTCAGTTTAAGGGAAACAATATTTAAACATATTTTGAATAATTTCTTTTTGTTCATCTCTGCAAGTAGAACTGCGGGTGGGAACAGATACGTGGGCGGTGTGTTGGCGTTCCGGTGTGGAAGGTAGAAAGGCACCTTAAATCCCCATGGCTTCAAGGCAAAAGAAAAAGCCCCCGCTGAGCAGCTGCAGTGCACAACTTATTAAACTGCGACTAATCCAGTGTGAAAACAGGTTTGATATTTGTCTGAGAAATTAAGCAGCACTCCAGATTGCAAGAGATAAATATTTGCCTGGAAACAGAGCTGCAGCGCAGTGACAGCTCAAAGAGAGAGAGTCACAACCAATTAGGAGAAATCAGTTGCCGTGCCATTCAAATTTGTTCCATCCTATATGTCTCCCCATTTCCCCACTGAGGTAAATAATGTGTTTGAGGTTTCTCTCTGCTCTTTTGTTTATTTCCCTCTTTGTTTCTGTTTCTCTTTTCTTTCTTTTCTCTCTGCCTGTGCCTTCCTTTCTGCTCATCTCTCTGTTCTCACCCTGTTTTTTTTTCCCTCCGCACACAAACACACCTGGTGTGGTTCAAAGAGCAGATTCGGAAATGAAACAAATATTCTCAAGGAAATGGGTTTTTGATAAAACAACACTGAATTCACATTTCCATCCTGTGATCTTGGACAGTTCAGGCTTCATTCTCGTTGCTAAAAACAAAAACAGCCAAAATGAATTTGCCACATTTTTGACAGACAACGCGTGGGACTGTCCAAATTAGCATGAACTGAAAGCAAGAGTGATTGTACAAGCATGTAAACAGGTCAATCGGCAGCTGCAGCCACTGAGGAATAACTTTTTGACAAAGGGTGAGACACACAGAAAGTAAGTTCTTGTTGCCCTCCATTTCAGCTCAAAGGAAACAGGTGTAGTGAAGCTGACAGAACTCCTCTCATCTAATCGAGTGGCTTCTCACGTCTCTCTGCCTCCCACCTAAACCCCAAGCTCCTCTCCAGGCACCGGACATCAGTCACTGCCATCTGCAGCCAGCTATCAGCTGACAAGAGGACGCTCCTCTTAAAAATCTGTAAGCGCTGCTCCACAAAAAGCACTGTATTGTCATTACGTCACACAAACAAAGCTCAGTAGGAGTTAGTCCTCAGTAACTGATGTTCAGTACTGTAAAGAATTTATAAAATGGATGATTATAAACCTGAGATATCAACGACTTTATTTATAAAGTGAATTATATGTTTGCAGTGAAGAAAGCTTGCCTCAATTAGTCAGTATTCTACAAATCAACTTTCCTGCTCATTCAACGTGAAGAGAAGAAAGAAAGAGAGAAGTACAGAAATTAGTATAGTGCTACTGTTGATCATAAAAAACTCATATTCTTAATTTCTATCAACTTTTGGTTGTTTTTTCTGTCTTTTGTAAATGTCTTTTTCACACACAGCTACTAATGCATCACCAGCTGTCAGAGGAGAAGGGGACTCTGCTTTTTAAACTGAACTACCCTCCAAGGTTTCTTCCTTCTTTCTAACATTTTGCTTTTTTCTCTTCCTATTAGAGCAGTGGTTTTAAACCAGTGATCCACCGCCCCTAGTGGCCCATGAAGGTAATGCAGGTGATCCCTAACCATGCAGTCAATAATGTAGTTTCCCCGTGAGAACCACATTTCATTTTAATCTAATTTTATTTTATTTTACCCTGGACAGGTCGCCGGTCTATCACATGGCTGATATGTAGACAAACCACCACACACACTTCTATAGGCAATTTAGAGTCATCAGTCAACCTATGTCTTTACCCTGGACAGGTCGCCGGTCTATCACATGGCTGATATGTAGACAAACCACCACACACACTTCTATAGGCAATTTAGAGTCATCAGTCAACCTATGTCTTTGTCTTTGGACTGTGGGAGGAAGCTGGAACACCTGGAGCGAACCCACGAAGGCACAGGGAGAACATGCAGACTCCACACAGAAAGGCGCCGG